ATATTTTTATTTTTTTAAAACATGGGAGAGGAAGGGCAAGCTTTCATAGGTTCAGTGTTTAATACACTTAATTGAGCCAAAAATGGTGAAGGACAGAAGTGTAAACCAGTGAAGGAGGTCACAGCCACTTTCTAGTTCAGGGGCAACCAAACTGTGGTCAGCCACCTCATTTAAATTTGCTGCACAAATTTAATTTACGGAGCTGTATGTAGGTAGGGGGTGTATGTGCGTGATTTGCAGAATATGTAAAGAAAACTGAAGTGCTCCACTGAAACAGTTAGAGTCTGCAGTCCAGGTAGAAAAATTAATGACATTTTATTTCTAGCTTCATTGCTTGAGAAACAGGCTTTAAAACTGAGGTAGATTTGTGGTCTTAAATTGAAAGTTGTAACATTGAAAGGAGTTGTAAGAAACTTCAATAACAGTAGCAATGCTGGAAAGCTGTGGTTAAAACTTTCTTGCCTAGAAATCACCAAGTTAGTCAACTCCTGAAGCAAAGATGTGGACAGTAGTGGAGGAACTGATACTGCCGAGTACATGTGCTGTGTTCTAGTGCTGAGCAGGATTGAATGCCCCTCAAAGTGCTGTGGGTTTTGCGTTTCTGTTCTGTAATAATGATTTTAACTAGTGAAACTGCACTGGTATTAGTAACTAAGGGAAACATTTAGTTTAGATTAGATATACAGTCCACTTTATCCACTTTGGGATTTAACTTCAAAGCTAGCTTGGGACCATGAATATTTCAATTATGAGTTGCTATTAAACTTCAATCAGTTTTCAAAAAGCGAACATAATATATATATATTTATAGTTAGGTGTGGGCTTTAGATATTATGAGTGAGATCGACAGCTAGCATAACTTCATGTGGTACTATTGACGTTACTGGAATTACGCATATTTCTACTAGCTATCCAGCATGTCAAACTTCCCCTTAGTGATTTAAACTTCAGTTTACCTGTTTAAAGTTGAATTTCTTTTGTTACTCCATTATGTTTTCTGGAAAGAGGTCCTTCCTACCATAATAATCTTAGATATGTCTGTACTTCCAAACCTTTCTTTTTTGTTACAGCATCCAAAGCCCCATCTTGTCCATCTTGTATTACCTTTTTATTAAATATTTTTTAAACTTTGAATACCTATCACAAAGAACATTTTTGTAGTTGCGGTCAGAGTGAGTGGAATGAAGAGTAGATAACGACTAGCCTGTTCGGATGAAATTTGAAAAACAAACTGCAGTTTAGTTTCTCATAACCTTCTGTTTTCTGCAACAGCTGAACTTTTTGAGTTCTAAGGGAGAAAAACATGTATCAAAAGGATTGGGTTTTTTTGGCTTGCAGTTGCACTGGAAAAATATCACAATTGCATACTAAATAGTGTCATTTTTTTATTCTTTCATTTCCATTCTCATAAGAAATAAAGATTTCACAAAAAGAGGGAGGAATCACTTTTACAGGCATTTACTTGAAAATTCTGTGTTAGGCAGGTTGGTTTTGCCCCATTCTGAATCTGCTTCTACACTTCTTACCTGTTTGCTATATAGTCAAGTGACTTCCTAAGGACTTTTCTTTTAGCAATTTTGTGACAAGTTGTGTAAAGCAAAAATGCAGTCTGTTTCTCCAAAAAGGTGATTTTTTTTTTTTTTTAAATTGGCATTCTGTATGTGGCACTTTTTCCAAATTCTTATCTAATTCATAAGACTTAGTTAAGCTGTTTTTCTGTCCGTATAAAGTCAGTATTCACGTGTTGAGAAGGGTGACCTGTGTTAACTTCCTCAGATAAGGTTTCCTATTGTTTCAAATCCGTTTTCATATACTGAGGAGGAGCCAGATCCTGAACTGGTTGTAATGAGTGGTGAGGCTTTCAGATAGTGTAGAACAGCAAGGACTTTCCAGTCTAGGAGTAAAAATGAATTAAAGTGTTCCGTTTGCTCAAAGTCGATAGCTGTTGAGGTGAAGATTGCTTGCCCCCATTGTTTGGATGGTTTCTGTGACAGACACAAGAGGAAGTAGGTAGGATTTGCTGATGTTTAAAGGATGTAGTTGGCAGAGAAAACTCAGTATTGTCAACAATACGCTGATTTGTAATTTGACCTTGGTACAATTGGTTATAAATGGGGATTACCCTGCACCAAACCAGATTGCCTGGTGTCTTAATAGCATAATCGTGTTTTGGTTTGTTTTAATAATATGTATTTACATTGTTCTGTTCTTCCAGAGGTGTTTTTTTTTTTTTCTCTTTCTTCTTTTGCTCTAAAATGTAGGTTACCCATTTAAAATTAATTATAAACTTTAGCTTTTTGCTTTTTATTTGTTATTGAATTTCTGCTAATGAGGATTTGTGCTATGCTTCACCTTCCTGATCGGTTTCCTTCCTTCTCTTTCATTTTGTTCCTGTATTGTTTCCCTGACCATCACAGCCTTAACTTAACACTGCCAAGGGGTAAATGTTAATGTTAGACCACAGCTGTTGACAGTAAATGGGAAGGGCTGGCTGTAAAATCCGTGCTCCTCCATGTCTGATTGAACTTTAAGACAGGAAAAATACTTTTTTAGTAGTGATTTTGTTGCTCATCTTTCACGACCTTTATTCTTTCTCTTACCTCTGGGTTTGTTTTCCTCCAGGTTTAGCGAAGGAGCTCTTTCAATGTAGATGCCAGGAGCCTTAAATTATTCAGGGATGTGCTTTTTAGATGCTCTGGCTTGCAATCTTTAAAAGCCTGTTAAAGAGAGATTCTTTACATAGGCTTCAGGTAGCTGTATTCTTCTGTCATTTTAACTAATGGCTTCGGCTATTCCAACTGCAGTTTAAATGAGGAAAAGCTTTAATATTTATTTACATGTTTGCAGCATACAAAATCATGATTTTTTTTTTTCCCCACTATCAGGTGAAAAATGCTCTGTTTTATTTTCTTTCTCTTTCATTC